AGTCTGGTTTAGAAAGAGTTAAATTGTTCTACATAAACTATGATTTTTAAAGAGCAGCTTCCTTCAGACATCTTTTACTGGATATAACATATTTTTTGAGGCCTGATCCTTCAACTCAGACAAGCTGATGATCCTTAAGTCTCTTTCAGCATCTTAAACAACAGTTACCGCAAGGTGATAGTATCTTGCTTCTGCTCTATTTTGCTACAGACTACCAGCAGTATGACACAGACCTTCATGGAGGCAAATCTAAAGCAAATTTTAGAAGTTTTAGTAATATTTCTAATAGAAAAAATAGCACCCTGGAATCCTGAATTTCCCTAACGATAATGATGCCATTTTGCTATAACTGAAATCTGTGCAAGAGGAATAGAAATTCTGCCTTCAGTAACTCACTGAGGCAATTACACAGGAAAGTACTGTAATAGGCTGTCCCCCGTCAAACAGCTCACGTACACGACTTCCTTTTCAATTACCAACTTGTCTGCGTTGCCATCTGTAAAAACGAACACATACCTTGCGCTGCCAGTTTCTGCTCTTGCACTTCCATTAGTGGAACTGGCTGCAGCTGCTCCAGAAGAAAGCCCTGATTGTCTTTGTTTTCCCAAAATGTAGCACCATTTTTCACCCTCCCTTACATATATAACAACTCAAAGTTATACATTCTCTCTGCCGAGGTGTACTCACCAGTATACTAGCTAAAGTCTACCTAATTTGTTTCCTGTTTTCCCTTCCCAGTTCACCACAGTTTAACACCGTAAAAGCTACCAGCAGCATCTCTCAGCATCTTCCACCAGAATCACTACGTGAGCATCCCAACAGGTTCTATCAATCTTTTCAGGAAATGCTGTAAAAATCACTAAGTTTCTAGACAAACTTCTTTCTACATTTCTAAATCAACTTGATCACTCAGCAAGTACTGTTTTAAAACAGTACTTATACAAAGCAATCAAAGATAAGAATAATAAAAAAAAAAATCCAATTTAAGAATAATAGCATTCCTTACAAAAATGGTTAGGTAGGTGTATTAGTGTGTATAAGCTGGACAGAGGGAGTCTGCTGTGGGAACTGCGATACTCGCCCCTAAGCAATATAAACTTTTCTCCATTAGTAATTTGCTGAGGCAGATTCGTGCAGCAGTTACAATTCTGAATGGCTGCCTAAAAAAATCCCTGTTCGTTCACACAGATCGTTGCTCCTTTCTGGACGCCGTATGCTTCTGAATGAACTAAGCAGTTGTTAAGAGAGTGAATCTAAGAAAAAATCATTACCAGCTTTTTGCATTTTTCTAAATTACAAACACAACATAAAGATTGTAACACGTACAGCAGCTGACTCGTCTTCTGATCGGTAACTGCATAAAAGTTGTATCCTCAGAACAGTCCTAGGCATGCTGAAAGAGACATCGAGAAAACTGGAAATGCTTCTGACTGTTTCATTTCTTGGCACAAGGCAGAAATATCCAAGCCCTGGTGTCTCAAATAGGGAATCTAAATCAATAGTTAGACTTTGTTATAAACAGACTCACTTTCTGAGATAAAGAGCCAGTTAAGAAGGTACCTAAACATGGAATTAGGTGCCTAAGTTTGGGCAACAATACTGGAGAATTTATGCTTAAGAAGGCATACCGACTATCTTCTCCTTTATGAAGTAATCTCAGCCATCAAAGGAACAGATAAAAGCGGAGCAAAGATATGCCTGTATTTCCTTGAACATCCCCCAACTTTGACATGGTAAGAACCAGACAGCATTTGCAGATCTCAGCTAAGAGCCAATGTGTAACTCTACATATGATAGTAATTGAGGGTCCCAATCCCGCAAGCACTCTGCTGCACGAATGAGCACAAAGCTGCTGGAGTTCTCAGCTTCTGGCATCTGTTCCCACTTCCATAGAAATCAGATGGGCAAAATTAAGTTTTGAGGAAAAAAAAAATCACAGACATGTAAAAAACATTCCCTGACCTTATTAAAGTCCACGTGATCTCTATTTATACAGAAAATGGATCAGAAAGCCAGCAGCTGAAAGGAGGAACTCTCATTTGTAGATTTTGTCAGAGGGCTGCCAAAACCAGCAGGGAAAAGGCTCCTAAGGGGCAAAAATTTGAAAAGCCATTAAGTGATTTAGAAGCCTCAGTCTCCCTGACTTTTGGTCACCTACATCCTCCCAAATTTGCACCTGAAATCTGGAAATTACATTAGAAGAATAATTTCTCATTCACAGTTATGAAATGAGGATCTAAAATTTTAATAGAAGTCCTCAGGACTCAGAGAGGAAATGTCAATTAGGTGTCTACTTCTCAGTGAAAGCCAGTGAGGTTCATTTATCTGTTACTTGTACTTTAAAAAATTCCCCTTAGGACCATTCATTTTAATTAAAGAAAAAATATAACAAGAAAATATGTCATATAGGCAGCTACAGCTTAGAAAACTTCTTCAGCAACTGTAGTAACTATAATTTTAATCTCACACAGGTCCCTTGAGAAGGCTGTTATCAGAGTAGGATCCAAAGCTGACTAGGTCCACCTGTAGTTTTCAATACGTGTAGGACTGCACCCTTATTGCAGATCTTGTTATTTGCTGTTGCTCGAATGGCTTCCATTCAGAAAAATCAACATTTGCCAACTCATACCACACAATTACCATAGTTATTTCCTATTGTAAGCTTAGGGAGAAACTGTGGTATCCCAGATACCACGGTGTGGTAAATATTGAAAAGCAGTGGCCTTTCTATAATGGCCATTTTCATCTAATCCAATCCATTTCAAACACTTCCAGATAACAAGACAATAAGACTGAGTCTGTTTCTCAGTGGTTAGTTCTAATGTAATCATCTCACTCTGTCCTATGATCCTGCTTTTGGCAAAAATATTTCATGGCTTCCCTCTTGATAGCTTTAGGCATTATTGCCTAAATGGCAATGGACCACAGCAGTGATCAATCCCTACGGTCATCTAGGGAAGTAACAGTGTCTCTACTGAAAAAATAAAGCAGGTTATTTTGGACAGAAGCAGAAAGTGCTAGCAATAATTTCTACTTTTTTTTTTTTTTAAAGTTACCCC